CGGCGGCGGCGGAGGCGGGGGAGGCCGCGGAGGTCGGGGCCGGCATCCCGGGCACCTTAAGGGCCGCGAGATCGGCCTGTGGTACGCGAAGAAGCAGACGCAGAAGAACAAGGATGCCGAGAGGCAGGAGGTACCCCGCGGCGTACTGAGGTGGGGGTGGGGGGTTCTGCCTGTGCAGCCGCCCTTGGCGCTAGGATGGCGTTGCCTTCTCGGTGGCCCGGGGCAGGTGCAGCCGAGTCCCCGTAACGGGTAGTCCGCTGCCGGACCTCTGACCAGCGGTCATGCTTCGCGCAGGCCCCGTGCATGCTTTTTAAAGGAAGTGAGAACTGTAGATCAGCGTTAAGTTCAGGCGGCAGCTGAGGCAAACTTTTATCTGGGGTGTCATCATCGCACCCCTGTATATCCTCTCCTTTGGAACCGTCGTCACCTAAATGCTTCGCCTGGCGAAGACCACAGAAGCCGACAAGCACCGTCGTAGTTGAGTGTAGTTACTTGAGAACAGCTTTTTATTATTAGCGTTAAACTGAGTCACCTGCTCTGTTCTTTGGTTTTTACATCTTGGGTGGAAATTTTCTGTTGATTAGCAGCCCCACTTTAAGAAGGGAACTTAAGATGCTAGTGAGGAAGACTGTAGGACGCAATTGGGCTAGTCCCTTGAGTTCTGTCTTGAGGTTTTGTGGTAAGGGAAGCATCTGATTTCTTGAGTGGGCCTGTTCCAATAACAAAATTGCACAGAAGCTTTTGAGATGACTTTTTAGTGACTTAATGAAAAATACTCTTTATAATAGATGGGAAAGTGTAATTGAACCATCTCTTAGGCCACTGATTTTGAACCGTTTTCTTTTTCCTTTAAGCAACTCATTTTTATGGAAGTGTCTTTTTTAGGGTTTGTAACTATATCTTCACAAGTTACTACTACATTCTTCTCTTTGAAAAACTTACTCTTTTGACCCTGAGTTTGGTGTGCGCAGCCGCCATGATCTGGAGGCGTGCAGTACCCAATGAACTTGCAATCCAAGACGGGTAAAGAAATACTTAAACAGATGAAAACTTAAATAAGCCAGGGAAAGTTATTTCCACACGGAAAGTATAGCACCTGGTGCCGCAGATGGGAATGGTGTGTTGTCGAGGCTGATCTTGTACTCCTGATCTCCCTCTACCTTCCAGGTGCTGGGATTACAGACCTGTGTCCTTTCATTAATGTGACCCTTGATCTCCATCCCCAGAACTCCATTTTAGCAACCATCAGTACCATTTATTCACTTGACAAATGGGGTAAAACATTTTTTCTTTCATTTCGGTAAATCTGTGCTCTGCTTTTTTGCTTATCCCTAGCAATTATTGAAGGTCAAACCAGTATTTTTGTGTGCATAGCCTCTTAGTTTTTTTAAGTTACAGAGACACCCCATAGTGGTAAAAATATTTTTATTTTATGTGTATGAACGTATTGCCTGCATGTGTGTAAGTGCATCTATGTCACGCAGTGCCCATGGAGATCAGAAGAAGGCATCAGATCCCCAGGAACTGGAGTTAGGAACAGTTTAGCTGTCATGTGGCTGCTGGGATTTGAACCCCGTCTTCTGCAAGAACAGCTAGTGTTCTTAACTGCTGAGACATCTCTCCAGTCCTTATACTTAAATTTCTAACCTAGAATGTAATTAAACTAAAGACTTCATAAAATACTACTTGCGCATTGCTCTGGTTTTATTTTGTTGTACTTCCTGCTTCTTTTTTGATTGTTGTTTATTAATGTGAGCCATAATCTTTTTAATTTCGTGAAAAACAATTGGAAAAGCTCTGAATTAGAAGCTAAGACCTTGAAATTTGTTGGGTTTTTTTTTTCCCCTAGAACTTTAGCAAGCTATTAAAACATTGAAGATGAAAACATTGGATGTTTATTATTTGTTAATGCTTTGGGGAGAGGTTGAGGGGTTGATTGGGGGGTAGGGCGTGTCTCATTTTATAGCCCAGGCTGGCCTGGAACTTTTTTACCCAAGCTGGCCTCAAACCTGTGATGATCTTTCTGCCTCAGCTTAACTGAGGGATAAGATTCCAAGTGCGAGTCCCCAATCTTGGATTGGATTGAATTTTTAATTTTTTCAATCTCTCAGGTAAGCAGTGTAAGGTATGGTTCGAAGGTGGCAGCTCTGGGGCTGGGAGACCAGTTAAGTATTTCTCTGCACTAATTAAGATGAGAATGACTTCCAAGAATTAGGATGTTGGCAGTGGAGATGAAGGGACAGTTGAAAGTAAAGGTAGATGGAAAATGATTTTTATGATTTGTTAGACGTTACGTGGACAGCAGGTGTTCATAGATGAAGGTTTCCTCTTCAGCTAAGGGTACTACCGTGAGTTTGATATTGTTACTGGGCATATAAGTGAGGATTTCAGTGTGTGATGCCTGGAGAAATCTTGGCTGGAGGTTAGCATTTGGCCGTGCAGGGGCCCATGGATACTAGTGAAGGGTAAGAATAAATGGTGAACAGAATGAACCTGGTCCTGAATTGTGCAGACCATTGTTTCTTGAACTTGCCTGTGCATAGGAATCACCTGGCACTTTGTTAAAATGTAGGACTGGGAATGAGCCAGGGATTGTGCTTGGCTGTCAGGCTTTCAGATGATGCTGCTGGTCTGTAGGTGATTCAGACTGTAAAATGTTATTCACAGATATTTAGGAAGTGGCACAGACTGTGAAGGTGAAGGTGGAACATCCAGAGAAGAGAAAAATAGAGTCTGTAGATTAGCTGATATGGTGGGCACTGCCCAGGAGTCATAAGGTACAACTTAGATTTATGAGCCAGGTGCATGATGCCTTTGATGAACACCTACTCTGGAGTGACGGGAATATAAAGCAGATGGTAATAGGGTGGTGAATGGGGAAATGGAGCATTTGTCTATAGTTTTGTTGTAAAGGGGAAAAACTAGGGCATTAGCTTTAGTGGTAGGGAAATGGAGGAGAGGAGGATTTTGTATGTTCTTGGTGAAGAGATTTGATGTTAATGTACTGATGGCTTCTTTTGTTTTGGCCCCTGAATGCCACACTTTTTTGAACTTCTGTCCTTACCTTGGTGTAGATAGATGGCTTTTTACCCCTTTCTTACTGTGATTTCGGCTCCTGTCTCCTTGCTGTACACTCCAGGCTTTCTATTATAATTCTAAAGAAAGGCAGTCTGTAGTGGTCCACATATGTACTGTTAATGAATGAGTGTTAGAGTTAGGAAACCTCACCATTGTTCTTAATTGAGAATTCAAACTTGCTGTTCTATTTGACTTTCATCCTCATCATCCTGTTGTCCTCACACTAACATCTGATTTTACTGCTGTTCTCTCAGGACAAAAGCTTGAAACAGAACAGGCTTTGAGTTCCACTATTTAAATCCTTTAGTTCTAGGGTTTCTTTGATCTGTTTCTTCAACTATTTCATCTTTCCATTATTATTTTTAACTTTCTTCTCCCTTTTCTTTAGCCTCAGCCTCTCAGTCTCATCACTCCTGATTTCCCATTGCCTGTGGAACTCATAGGCACATTATTGAGTCTGGATGCTTAAGAGCCTATGCTTTGTACAACCATAATTTTGGAAGAAAATTTTTAAAAAAATTTGTGAGTGTTTTGCTTGCATCTTTGTGTACACATGTGTGCAATGCCAGCAGAGACTAGAAGAGGACATCGGATCCCTTGGAACCGGAGTGATGGATGGTAGTTAGCCGCTATGTGGGTACTGGGAACTGTACCTGGGTTGTCTGCAAGAGCAGCAAGTGCTCTTCACTGCTGAACCATCTCTTCAGCTCCAGAAAAAAAACCTGTTTTTAAACTTGTTCTTATCAAAGGAAATGAAAGTCTCCAAAGAATTGGGTTCACCCTTCATTCTTCTTTGCCTTGGCTTATAATCTCATTTCTCTGATGTGTGTTTAAGGTTTCATTTGCTCACTGAGGAGCTCACCTTTCAGTGCTGTGCTTGCTTTTATTGTGTGAAGCAGCCACTGCATTTACCATCTCCCTGAGCACTTAACAGTAGAACATTGAGCTTTTGATAATTGAACATTGTAAGTACGCCAGGGAAGGAGGAAAGAAACATGTTGTAGGAAGAGAAAATTTGCTTTCCTTGCTCATCGTATTTAGAGCTAATTAGGTACATGGTAGGCCAGGGTCTAGAAGGGATTGCAAACATGTTTCCATGAATTAGGCCTAGGAAGTGTGACTAGGCTAGAAGGAACGTGCGGATAACCTTAACTTAAATTTTGTTTGTTGACTATATTATTATTTTTATATTAACAAATATGTTTTTTCCTTTGTGTAAAACAGAGAGCTGTGGTACACATGGATGAGAGACGAGAAGAGCAGATTGTCCAGCTGTTGAATTCGGTCCAAGCTAAGAACGATAAAGATTCCGAAGCACAGATATCCTGGTTTGCTCCTGAGGATCATGGGTAAAATAAAGTGTTCTTAAGAAAGATAGCAAAAAGTTAACATTTCCGTTATAGCACTTGATAGGACAGAAAAGGACAAATTACCATCTTAGCTTCTTCAGGAGAATTAGTCTTCAGGAAATGATTTTTAATCTGTAACAGATTTGAAGAAAGAAGAATTTTAGATGGCATATTTCCTACTGGAAAATTAAATGTTAAGAATGGATATTAAGAGATTATATTAAAGTAATAAAAGAGATTAGTACTTGTCTTTCTTTCCTGTCATCTTCTGTCTGCACAATGGTAAATATCTGCTGTTTTAGGAAGTTTGCGAAACTGATACATTTATAGGAAATACTAGGGGTATTTCAGGGACTCGACGGCTCCATTTACCACCCAGAAAGGGTGGCAGGAAGAAAACGGTGCGAAATACACCAAGGACAGGCGAGACAGACAGTGTAGATAACCAGAGAAGGGCAGGCGAGACAGTGTCAATAGCCAGAGACCAAGGACTCGTGTGGGGTTTAACTTTATAGCATGTTCTCATAACTGCTTTGTACATAGAGTACAAGCTTTCAGTGTTGAAGATTTTGAAATATTTAGACAGCATAATGCTTTGTTTTGTTCCAGGGCCTGAGTGGCTATTTATCTGATCTTTTCTCATTTTTTATTTTGTGTAAATAGGTATGGTACTGAAGTTTCCTCTGAGAAAAAAATAAATTCAGATAAGAAACTTGACAACCAAGAAAAGAAATCAGTGAACCAAGAAAAAAAGACATTTAGAGTCACAGACAAATTATATGTTGACCGAGATTCTGAGTATCTGTTGCAAGAAAATGAACCAGATGTGAGCTTAGACCAACAATTATTGGAAGATTTACAAAAGAAAAAAACTGACCCTCGGTATCTAGAGATGCAGGTAATGCAAAGCAAAAGGTGAAAACATCTTTGTTCTCTTCCCTCACTTGAGAGAGGTGGATTTATGACCATAAGGTTAAGGTTTGGTGTAGAGGATCCTCAACAAGACACCTTGTGTGGGAAGGTTTTCTTTTGAGTGGTACAGAAAAAGCAGTGGTATGGAAATTCCACACAGCCTGCAGTGCCTGTGGCCTCATGCACAGCTGCTTGTGTAGGGAGGAGAAATGCTTGAGACTGTGAATGCCGCTGAGAACACAGTGAGTTTTCTAGGCCAGTTAGAAGTCATGAGTGTAAGCAGTTAGAATTGTTAAGAATTGAAAAGTTTCTTGCGGATCATGTATCTTTCCTTTTGTAGATGATAAAATTAAATTTTTCACCTACTAGCTGCTACATATACATTCACCAACATTTTAAGGACACTACTGCGTCAAGGGCTGAACTTTCCCAAATTAGTCCAGTCCTTTCTTCTGGGTTGTTTTAAGGTTCCTTCCATTTAAATACAAAATTGTATGATTTGTGAGTATTCCAGGTAGTATTCGCTTCTTCCCATCCCCCAGCATTCTGCTTTTCTGTGAGAGCTGGGGATCCCAACTTAGATCCTCGTGCTTTCCTGGCCAGTCCTTTAGCCACTGAACCGTCTTGCCAGCCCATTAAGTTTTATGTAATACACATTATTTTTCTACTTTGCTAGATGCCAGTTGTCATACAATGTTTTCTGAAGGATAATACACTTCCTGTTCTTACACAGCTTGTAGTTGTGTTATCTCCTCTCCTAGTTGCAGCCAGAATTAGGAATTAGAATGTTTGGCTCCCTTGGGAAAGAATACTGGGCTATAAATTTCTGTTCAGAAGACTTTACAGTCACAGAAAGGAGATATGCGTAATTACAATTTTAAATTCAATGGAATAGTTTATATAGACATATATATTAAGGCTGTTGCATTTAATAACATATATTAGTATTTCTAGATGTTATTTTTGAAATGGTGTTTAAATAATTAAAAATTATAAAAGAAATAGCTAAGACTTATGTAGTGACTTATAATTTTTAATGCTGTAGTTCATTTTAATTGGTCACATTTACTATCATAGTTATACTGTAAGAATAACCTTATCACAATGTGGCAATAATATGCTTAGGACAGTTTTAATTAAAATTTGTTTAATTTCAGTTTTTAAATTAAAAGTTTTATTCTCAATAAATAGGTTTTGTTACAGCTGGCTTATTTTTATGCCACTGAAGGTTTCTCATGTTTCAGGGTGTCCCTAGGTGAATGTAAATCTTAGCACTTCTTAGAGTTTAGTGTTTCTGTTTAGTGTGCCTGTAGGGTTTCCTAATAGTTTACAAAATTCACAAGTAGTTGTTGCATAAATCAAAGAATTGGTATTCCAGTGTTAACCAACAAATCTTAAGTTTATGCAGAAGCTTTTGTGTTTCAGACACTGTCGTTTTTACATGTAAAAGTTTATCACTGAGACCTTGTGGCAGCCCTGTGAAGTAAATAAAACTTTTGCAGCATTGATGGCCAGAATTTGACTTAACGACGACTGTCCTGAAATGGCTAAATTTTTCTTAGCCTCAAAGGCAGGTATTGTATCCTAAAGTCATCTTCATACCTGCTCTAGTGCCTGTTAAATTAGTAAATGGCGCACTGATGAGTAGGGAACAGAATGTGCCATCAAAATCAGATCTAAGATGAATATATGAAGCAAAGTAAAGTGATTTAGTAATCGTAATGTCATTAGATGAGATAACTGAGCAGATAGCATTTTACTTTGAAGGATAGGCCTCTTGTTAAATGTTATGTAATTCTGTTTTTAAGTCTTGATATTTCATGCATAGTGTAAGGTAGTAAAAATATTCATGG